TAATTTATTATTATTATTATTATTAAGATTCTAGTATTCGAATAACTGTATCCACAGCCTTGGCAAACACTGCCACGGCTGTGGACACAGTTGTTCGAATATACTGGCTTATTTTCCTCTCTTTGCTTTTCTAACCAACCAGTATGAGAACCGTAAAGTTATTATACAAATACTGGACGTTTTTACTACTTTCTTAAAGAATTGAGAAAAGTAACATTCAACACTTTCACCACACTCGCACATTATCACTGTTTTTGCAGAGGTGCTCAGAATACAACAGTCCAGAAGCATACACATATAAAGACACACAACATATCCCTCCAAACTGCCAATATCCCAAACCCCTCCTTTAAAGTGCAGGCATTGTACTTCCCATTTCCAGGACTCAAGTCCGACTATATGAAAATAACCGGTTTCCCTGAATCCCTTCACTAAATATTACCCTGCTCACACTCCAACAGATCGTCAGGTCCCAAGTACCATTCGTCTTCTTTCACTCCTATCTAACACGCTCACGCACGCTTGCTGGAAATCCAAGCCCCTTGCCCACAAAACCTTCTTTACCCCCTCTCTCCAACCCTTTCGAGGACGACCCCTACCCCGCCTTCCTTCCCCTATAGATTTATATAATTTCCATGTCATTCTACTTTGATCCATTCTCTCTAAATGACCAAACCACCTCAACAACCCCTCTTCTGCCCTCTGACTAATACTTTTATTAACTCCACACCTTTTCCTAATTTCCACACTCCGAATTTTCTGCATAATATTTACACCACACATTGCCCTTAAACAGGACATCTCCACTGCCTCCAACCGTCTCCTCGCTGCTGCATTTACCACCCAAGCTTCACACCCATATAAGAGTGTTGGAACTACTATACTTTCATACATTCCCTTCTTTGCCTCCATAGATAACGTTTTTTGACTCCACATATACCTCAACGCACCACTCACCTTTTTTCCCTCATCAATTCTATGATTAACCTCATCCTTCATAAATCCATCCGCCGACACGTCAACTCCCAAGTATCTGAAAACATTCACTTCTTCCATATTCCTCCTCCCCAATTTGATATCCAATTTTTCTTTATCTAAATCATTTGACACCCTCATCACCTTACTCTTTTCTATGTTCACTTTCAACTTTCTACCTTTACACACATTCCCAAACTCGTCCACTAACCTTTGCAATTTTTCTTTAGAATCTCCCATAAGCACAGTATCATCAGCAAAAAGTAACTGTGTCAATTCCCATTTTGAATTTGATTCCCCAAAATTTAATCCCACCCCTCTCCCGAACACCCTAGCATTTACTTCCTTTACAACCCCATCTATAAATATATTAAACAACCATGGTGACATTACACATCCCTGTCTAAGACCTACTTTTACCGGGAAATAGTCTCCCTCTCTTCTACACACCCTAACCTGAGCCTCACTATCCTCATAAAAACTCTTTACAGCATTTAATAACTTACCACCTATTCCATATACTTGCAACATCTGCCACATTGCTCCTCTATCCACTCTATCATATGCCTTTTCTAAATCCATAAATGCAATAAAAACTTCCCTACCTTTATCTAAATACTGTTCACATATATGCTTCAATGTAAACACTTGATCTACACATCCCCTACCCACTCTGAAACCTCCTTGCTCATCCGCAATCCTCCATTCTGTCTTACCTCTAATTCTTTCAATTATAACCCTACCGTACACTTTTCCTGGTATACTCAGCAAGCTTATTCCTCTATAATTTTTACAGTCTCTTTTGTCCCCTTTCCCTTTATATAAAGGGACTATACATGCTCTCCGCCAATCCCTAGGTACCTTCCCCTCTTTCATACATTTATTAAACAGAAGTACCAACCACTCCAACACTATATCCCCCCCCCTGCTTTTAACATTTCTGTCATGATCCCATCAGTTCCAGCTGCTTTACCCCCCTTTCATTTTACGTAATGCCTCACGTACCTCCCCCACACTTACATTCTTCTCTTCTTCACTCTTAAAAGATGGTATACCTCCCTGACCAGTGCATGAAATTACTGCCTCTGTTTCTTCCTTAACATTTAAAAGTTCCTCAAAATATTCTCGCCATCTACCTAATACCTCCATCTCCCCATCTACTAACTCCCCTACTCTGTTTTTAACTGACAAATCCATATTTTCCCTAGGCTTTCTTAACTTGTTTAACTCACTCCAAAATTTTTTCTTATTTTCATTAAAATTTCTTGACAGTGCCTCTCCACTCTATCATCTGCTCTCCTTTTGCACTCTCTCACCACTCTCTTTACCTTTCTTTTACTCTCCATATACTCTGCTCTTCTTATAACACTTCTGCTTTGTAAAACCTCTCATAAGCTACCTTTTTTCTCTTTTATCACATCCTTTACTTCATCATTCCACCAATCACTCCTCTTTCCTCCTGCCCCCACCCTCCTATAACCACAAACTTCTGCCACACATTCTAATACTGCATTTTTAAAACTATTCCAACCTTCTTCAACCCCCCCACTACTCATCTTTGCACTAGCCCACCTTTCTGCCAATAGTCGCTTATATCTCACCCGAACTTCCTCCTCCCTTAGTTTATACACTTTCACCTCCCTCTTACTTGTTGTTGCACCTTCCTCTTTTCCCATCTACCTCTTACTCTAACTGTAGCTACAACTAAATAATGATCCGATATATCAGTTGCCCCTCTATAAACATGTACATCCTGGAGCCTACCCATCAACCTTTTATCCACCAATACATAATCTAATAAACTACTTTCATTACGTGCTACATCATACCTTGTATATTTATTTATCCTCTTTTTCATAAAATATGTATTACTTATTACCAAATTTCTTTCTACACATAGCTCAATTGAAGGCTCCCCATTTACATTTACCCCTGGCACCCCAAATTTACCTACTACTCCCTCCATAACATTTTTACCCACTTTAGCATTGAAATCCCCAACCACCATTACTCTCACACTTGATTCAAAACTCCCCACGCATTCACTCAACATTTCCCAAAATCTCTCTCTCTCCTCTACACTTCTCTCTTCTCCAGGTGCATACACGCTTATTATAACCCACTTTTCACATCCAATCTTTATTTTACTCCACATAATCCTTGAATTAATACATTTATAGTCCCTCTTTTCCTGCCATAGCTTATCCTTCAACATTATTGCTACTCCTTCTTTAGCTCTAACTCTATTTGAAACCCCTGACCTAATCCCATTTATTCCTCTCCACTGAAACTCTCCCACCCCCTTCAGCTTTGTTTCACTTAAAGCCAGGACATCCAGCTTCTTCTCATTCATAACATCCACAATCATCTCTTTCTTATCATCTGCACAACATCCACGCACGTTCAGACTTCCCACTTTGACAATTTTCTTCTTCTTATTCTTTTTAGTAATCTTTACAGGAAAAGGGGTTACTAGCCCATTGTTCCCGGCATTTTAGTTGACTTTTACAACACGCATGGCTTACGGAGGAAAGATTCTTATTCCACTTCCCCATGGATATAAAAGGAAAATTAATAAGACCAAGAACTATTAAGATAAAATCAAAGAAAAACTCAGATGAGTGTGTATAAATAAATGTGTACATGTATGTGTAGTGTGACCTAAGTGTAAGTAGAAGTAGCAAGACATGCCTGTAATCTTGCATATTTATGAGACAGACAAAAGACATCAGCAATCCTACCATCATGTAAAACAATCACAGGCTTTCGTTTTACACTCACTTGGCAGGACGGTAGTACCTCCCTGGGTGGTTGCTGTCTACCAACCTACTACCTATAAAAGGCAGCTTTATTATATAATAAAAGGTATGATACAGTAAACGCACTTAACAAATCTGAAAAAAGCAGAACTGTGGAAAGTAGAGGCAGAACTGTGAAGAGTAGGCAAGACTGTGGAGAGTAGTCAGAACTGTGGAGAGTAAGCAGAACTGTGAAAATTAGGAAGAATTGTGGAGTAGCCGGAACTGTGGAGAGTAGGCAAGAATGTAGAGAGCAGCCAAAACTGTGGAAAGTAAGCAGAACCGTGGAGAGCAAACAGAACTATGAAAAGTAGAAGAGTAGACAGAATGAAAACATTTAGAATTTATTGGGTACCCCATATCCATCTTATTGAGGGTAGCTCAAGAGCATATAGATAAACAAAAGGCCTAGGAACTAGGCCCCAAAAAGTTTTACAGGAGTACATCTGAATTTATATGTATAGTTCACTAATCTATTGCAAACAAATTTAGGAAATTTGCTTAATGTGTCTCGTATCTTCTTTTCATCGATAAGATATATTGACATGTCCCACAAGTTCTTATGTTGTCTATCTCTATATTCCTCATTAAGTGAATAATTAAGAACATTGTGCTGAGGATAGTGACCATAGGGTGGGCCACATACTTTTCATTCAGTTTGATGATCATATGTGTGATTGCTAAACTGCCAGAAGTACTTATAACCAAGCCTAAGTCTGGCCACTGCAACATCACTCTGTTCACATTGCAAGTTGCTCCATAAACGTGCTTATCTACTTTCATGTTATCATAATGGGTTATAGATCTACTCAGGCTTCGAACTGCATTACTACAATTTTCACTTTCATTATTTACTTTTCTTCAGGGTACCTTTCTTGGCTGAAAGAGTAATCCAGTGTGATAGAATCCATAACAATTGTACATTAATTATCTTTTTCCGGATATCTGAGTATATCTGGCTTCTTTAATGAGCATGTTGTCAGAGTCATTATGTGACTCAAGAGCCTTAAGTGATGACACAGAATCAGTAATAATCACAGGGCCAAGCTCACCGTCATAAGCTAACTTCAGAACCATTAACTGTGGAAAGGAGTAGGCAAAACTACGAAAAGAAAAGCAAGCAAAACGGTGGAGAGCAGGCAGAACTGTGGAAAGTAGATTAGTAATCAAAACTGTAAATATAGAAAAAGCTGTTATAATTGTGAGAGAACACACAGATTGACTTACCTGGCTCACGATGGGACCTGTAACAGTAGAATCAAGTCACCCAGGCTCTTCATCTCACTCCATTCGTGATCGGGCATAAATCAACGCCCTTTCATGGAGTGCATCAAACCCCGTTCTATCTCTGGAAGCCGGGGGGTATTTAGGTGGTCAACTGAGCGACACCTCACTTCGTCCCCTGACTGAATTCATCAAACGATGGTTGGTTAGTAGGCTTTAATGCCTGCCGACTACATGTGGGTCAATAATTTTAAAAATGTCACCTGTTTACCCCCATAAAAAAATGCTTTAATCTCTAAAATAGGAATTATTTTAACTCTCAGTGTTATACAATGGAGACATGACCTCTCAGTGATAAATATTCGCTTAAAATAAAAATGCATACTTATTTTCTTTTCTTTGGTGACTTTACACATATAAACGTTATCAATGATTTCTTTACTGAATTTTTTATTATTTTTATTATTATTTTATTATTATTTTTATTATTATTGCTGTTGTTTTTGCTTTTAAAAATTTTTTTTAAATTATTTTTTGATAGGCCGGCCAAACCTAAAGGATCACAAAAGGTCTAAGAAATGGGGGTTACCTGAAAGGGAAGCTAAAGTTCCTTGGACCAAGAACCCTCAGCGCATAAGGAGCTTCGAGGACCCTTACAAATAGAACAGATATCAACTCTATCTGTATATAAATTAGCAAATCAGGTTTTAGACTTGAAAATCCAAGGAATGGAGCTACCCTCTCATTCCTCGATCAATTCTGATTTTTCCCTTTTTTTCCCCAGGTAGTGCATTATTAAGGGGTTTGCACTTCTGTGCTGTGCCCCGCTGCTGCTGCTGCTGCTGCTGATAATAAAAATAATAAAATAATAATAATAATAATAATAATAATAATAATTTTAAAAATTAATAATAATAATTTACTTAACGGAAATACGTTTTTGATATATGAAGGATACTGAGTAACAGCAGTTTCAAGAGACAAATCTCTATTTACAAATTCAAAAGCGTCCTCGAAGTAAGTCTGTGATATCAACGCCCTTTAACAGATTTCATCAACAGGCGGGCATTATATTAACAAAAAACGATATCAATTTTTTTTGATAACACACGCCACCTTATCAGAAAATTAAACAACACCTAACATGCAGGGAACAACGTTTCCTGTTTTAAGAAACATTCTTCTCCATTTCAGGGGACGATTCAAGTGTTTTTAGTTAAAAAAATGCACGCCATATAAGACAACTACGATATTCAGACAATCGAGCCAACACACTCTCAATAACACACGGTCGCAGATAGCAATGATAACAAATTTTAAAAGCAAAACTTCGGCTTATCAGGTGGTGATGCTATCAAGTGTGTAAAATATCTTCCAGTATATCTATACAAAGGAAGTCTAGTAGAAGAGTATCTTGGCTTGAACGTGAACTCCAACGCTTTGCTCACTACTGAACCCGGCAGGTAACTCACCGAGATTCGAACGATGCACGGAGCTGGCTAACCCACACGACCCCCTTTAGCAAATCCTCCCGTTCTCATTCACATAATTCGAATCGCAGTCACAGTTTGGCTTTTTTTTTTTTGCGGCTACCCCCTTCGTCATAAGGGAGGGGACGAGAAAGAGTGGAAAAAATGGAGGGGACAAGTGGAAAGAAAGACAAGGGGGGAATAATGAGAAGGGGTTGTGAATGAGTGAACTTAAAGTTCCGCCAAACTTCGTGGTAGGAGAGTTTCAAGTCCCGTTGGCCGGTTCTAGTTGGTCAGACGCGAGCGAATTCGCGGAGTTCAACCTTCTTCCCTTTCTAAGAGAAAGGTGAAGAGGGAAAGGGCCTTTATGATAGGGAAGAACTGTTGATCCAAGGAAATGGAGCTGTCATTCCCTTGGCTCTAACCTCATTACATTATATTCCCTAAACGCTGTGTAGCCAATACTAATTTACAGCTTTTCTTTGAAGATAATAATAATAATAATAATAATAATAATAATAATGATAATAACGAAATAATAATAATAATAATAATAATAATAATAATAATAATAATTATAGTAATAATAATAATAATAATAATAATAATAATAATAATAATAATAGTAATAATAATAATAATAATAATAAGAAGAAGAAGAAGCAGAAGGAGAAAAAAAAAAGATGAAAAAGAAATACATATGTTCCAGTTGCTCCGCGATCCAAGAAAGGTATCCCCGTAATCCATAAGCCGAGCCTTCTCTGTATTAATACACGTAAAAGGAATAGTACAGAGTGAGGCATAAGTTTCTAATGCACTTATATATCAGCGCTGGAAATCTGACGCGAATCAGAAGAAGCATTCACAGATTATCACATGGAAACTAAAGTCTCAATTTCATCAATCAAAATGAAAAAAAAAAAGTCCTTATACACCTCAAAACCATTCTAACCTTCTAACATATAAGATAAACCAGCATTGAAATTCTAAAGTCAGTCGGAAGAACCATTCTCCAGTTATCGCAAAAAAATATTAATAACAGTAGAAGACGAAGCTATATAAAAAAAATCACCGCAGTTGCAGTATCGAATCAAAACTCTACCTTTCTCTGCATTGGCCTGAAGAAACCACTGTGTGGCGAAACGTTTCCAGGATAACGATGCCCAACTTTGCACAAGTGTCTCTCTCGTTTATCAGCTTGACGGTTTTGTAAAGCATTTATTCACATCCTGTCAGACACAGCAACATCTTGGGATCATGATGTAGGGAATTCTTCAAAACGTGTCTACCCTATAGACAGCTTCCACTAGTGGGTTTGTACCAGTGCTGCACCTCATTTGCCATCAGTATATAAGCCCCATCTTCGCGAATATGCAGCACTTTTATCAAGATTGATGGATTGAACTCATCGACTCCAGGCCGAGGGACTGATTACCTCAAACTCCTCCTCATCTTCCACCTTTCTCTGCATTGGACTGAAGATGCCACTGCATGGAGAAACGTTTCCAGAATAAATATACCCAAATATTGCAGAAGTGTCTCATTAATCACTTTAATTAAGTTGGAAGCCGAGCTCAGATGTTGCAACTTTAACTTACGAGAATGCCGGTTGCATATTGCATTCACAACTCATTAAATTAAAATCAATAGTTATTTTTTTTTTCAAATTTCTATGGTAAAATTGGAAAAAATGGCACCTGCGCAGCCGAAAATCTGTCCAAACTTTTCACTAAATAAGATGCGCCAATTTTGGGGGTTTGAAGTTAATCAAAAGCGTCATTCTACAGCTATTACACGGAAACCAATTTGCATGATAAAAATTGGTAAATAAAAATTTACACCAAATCTTAACGAACTTTTCTTTAAGAATCCTCACCGGCATCAGAATTTTGAAACCAATCAGATGAGATTCTCAGGTTATCGCACAGAATCCAACAATTTCAATTTTTTTCACCATTTTGGTAAACTGAAGCATTTTTATTTTTTATTAACACATTGGCCGTTTCCCACCGAGGCAGAGTGATAGGAAAAAGAAGAAACGCTTTCATCATTATTCACTCCATCACTGTCTTTCCAGAGGCGTGCCTACACTACAGTTAAATAAATTGCAACATATCAACACACCTCCATCGGAGCGCAAGCATTGAACTTCCAGGACTCAAGTCCGGCTAACAGGTTTTCCCTGAATCCCTTCATAAATAATTTCCTCACACCCTCTTTTACCCCCCACCCTCCATCCTACCCTAAACCGACCCCATCTCTCGCCTTCCTTCCACTATAGATTTATACGCCCTCCAAATTATTCTGTTCTGTTGCATTTACGCAGACCAAACTCAAACTGTATCATCCATTTCATAAGATACATGAGTCATTACAAATAAAAGCCATTCTGGAGAAATATGTTATATTTCGCGATAAATAATGGCATTCATAATGCCATATATAAAAAAAGAGAATTTTTCAATATATTTTTTCTTTCTTTATTTATATTATACTGCACGTTATATATAACCCCTGTAAGAGAAATTTTTTTTTTTTTTTTTTTTTAAGAAGCTGAATTTTGCATGCTCTCTGTGAGCTGAGAGGCTGAAACAAAATGCTGCAAATTGAGGCCAACACAGACCAGTGACAATGCAAAGCTTCCTCAGCATGACTCAAGAAATCGTAATGACACGATTGCAAATAAACCATACCCCCGGCCGGGATTGAACCCGCGGTCATAGAGTCTCAAAACTCCAGCCCGTCGCGACGGGCTGGAGTTTTGAGACTCTATGACCGCGGGTTCAATCCCGGCCGGGGGTATGGCTTCCTCAGCATAAGATACATAAGCATCGAAGGTTTCTTTTTAATGCAGATTGGATGACACATTCAGTAATTATTGCATGATAATTCTTGTTTCGCAATTTGTCGCTCAACCCTCGGGACGAGCGGACGTGTGCTGAGCCTGCCCCCTGCTGTCAACTGGAGACAACTTGATTTTCGCAAAAAGGCACAGCAGGGTAAACGCCGGGTAAACACTGTCGGCATTGAAGTGGTAAGTGGGGCTATGTATGCCCACTCAGCTCAACTTTTACTGCCTGCCATCATCAGGGACACATACGGTATAGCAAACGAAGAGCTGTATGGTGTGGCATTGAATAGTGCATACTGAATCTTTGTTAAGTTTCGCAAGACAAGGTCGCCAGATTCAGGATATTTGTATGCCAGTGAATCCTGCAGTAATGGTGAGGCTTCATGATGTGTCCTGCTACTACACGTGGGTGAAGATACGGAATGTGCCTTTTGAGGCTGATGAGGTGGACCTGCGTGCTGTGTTTGAAAAATATGGGACAGTTCACATGGCGACGTTGGGGAAGTGGAAGGAAGGATCATATGCTGAGATGACTGAGGGAAATTTCTTTTTGAAAATAACATTATGGCATCCCATTCCTTCCTACGTGCAACTTGACGACTTCAGGACACAAGTAATGGTGACGTATGCGGGGCAACAACGTACTTGTTGCTTGTGCGGCGCCTATGACCACATTGCTGTGCAGTGTGTTCGACGGCAGGGTTCGCAGGTGGATGATCAGCGTAAGGAGGCACCGGAGGAATGGGAGAAGACGAAGGAGGCAAGACCAGAGAAGCCTACTTAGCGTAAGGCTTAATGTGTGGAGGTGGACGAGGCAGAATTAATGGAGGGAGAGTGTGTGATGCTTCCAGGGAGCCGAGCTCTTCCGGCAAGCACTGAAGAATGTAGGTGAGGT